TAGTTAAATGATAAACTTATATTAAGTCTGATATAGCTAAAGATTCAGAATGTGTATAGGTTATTGTAGGTCATAGGTGAGGTTTTAGTTCGTTATTTAAAACATAAAATTCCTTGAAAATCCACTATCCTTTGCATTGTTAGTGTAGAGAACAACATTTGTAAAGTCCAAAATTTAGTAATATACTCCAAGACAAGAATAAATCATCACTGTAGTTTAATTTTTTTCAGGTCTTGATTTTAATCTGATTATTTTCCCATCGGGTAATATAGCTCCCATATGTATCTATACGCTTAGAGTGGGTGCTTCTGAGTATTGATATCAAGTTAAGCCCTGCAATACCTGCACTTATTTTACAGATCACTTTTGAATCATATTTACCATTTTCAGTTCACTATTAAAGTACTCTAAACACTGTTAAAATATCGGGTCTCATTCAAGACATGAGAAGCCACTCTGCCCAGAGCTACCAAGTACAGGAATTCATTTAAATGTTGAGAGCTGTGTGCTTCTGCAGCATCCAGTTCTACTGCAATCCATTCCTCTGTGTTGCAATAGATAATTACTTCAAAGCAAGAAAGATAAATTCAGATATCCCATGAAGAAAACATTAAGTAAAGTCTGATTATCTCCTCTTCAGCACACTTACAATTATATTGTAGCTGTGTTGCAAATCAAAATAACGTAGTAAGAAGTTTGGATTTGTGGCCACTGTTGAATTGGCATCACCGGACACAGAGAAAAGAGTATAAATCCCTGGACCAAGGTTTCTTTCCTTCACTGGAATTCAGGTTCTACAGTTCTCCATAGCTTTCCTATGCACCCTGCTTCTCTAGCCTGATCACAGCCGCTGTATTCTGAGTGCCCCTTTGACATTCACCATCCTTTGTCCTTTATTTACTCAGCTGCATTACAAACTTATCCACAGACTCTTACTTCTAATTTCCTGTCTGCAGCCATCTCTAGGCCAAAACAATCACATCATTCTTGATTCATTATTTATAACAATCAAAAAGACTATGTGTCTTACAGACTAATCTGTAGTCACAAAATGTTTCAAAACAGTATCCAAGGTTTCTCTCAGTTTAGTTCAGGAATTTAAAAGATTTCAAAGAGACATTTAATTGTGCCAAGAATATCTCAATATAAGCATTTTAATATTTAGACACAATTTTATTATCTCCGTTGAGATTCAAGTTCCCTAAATATTTATCTGTAGATTCTCATTTGTTTTGTAACCAAACTTTTGTGTGTGTGTGTGTGTGTGTGTGTGAGAGAGAGAGAGAGAGAGAGAGAGAGAGAGAGAGAGAGAGAGAGTATGTGTGTGTGTTTGCCTTGCTTAAGAAGAACAAATGGAGTGATGATGCTTTATATTTTACTTTGGCAGTTTGGAAAAATATCTGGCACCCATAAACATGATTGAAAGGCATGGACATGTCTCCAAATGTCTCTTTATATGTATCAGACAAAAATTTAATTAAGGCAATGCTTCACAAGTTAAAAACTGTTAAATCTCCCAAACCTCTAAAATACGGACAATTAATCAGTCCATGGGTCCTTAAAAAGAAACAATACACATATTTATAGAATTTGTCTACCAATTATTCATTGGAAGGAACTGTGATGTTGAGTCATAGCTGTCAAGCACCAAGACTCCCCTATGAACTGATCTATCTCATTGACATTTTCTACTTTGGTCTAAAGTATTTGTAACTAGGATGTCATGATTACTAAGGCTAAAGATTAGTGTTCCAAGTCTATTATTTCATTAACCTTAAAGACTGATGGTCTCTCCTAACACTTAAGGAGAAAATAATCACAATTTTAGCATGTTCTCTACCATCCTCCTCCTCTCAAACTCCAAGTGTTTAACAAGGTATAAAACAAGCAAAAACTAAGAATATGCTTGTGAAAACATATACTTTGACTAGAACTAAGCTAGTGTTTTAAGAGCCCATGAAATGCCAGTTTTAGTAAAGTCTGAAGTAGCTATTTATTCAAAGTATAAAATTATAGATAAGCATAAAGCTCATCTACTTTATCTTTTTTGTAGAGAATGAAGTAATAGAGAAAATTTAAAAGGCTCTGTGGCTCAAAAATATTCAATACTAACCCCTGCAGTACATTTAACACATGAACTAAAGAGAAGAGAAACTGTCAGAATTTGATTATTAAAGATCATGGACAGATATTATTCAATACTTTGGTGCCTGATATATCAGTTTCATTTATCAATATCTTATTCTGTTTTTAAAAAAGTAAATAGTTATGATTTTAATTGTATTTTATTATTAACAACAATAAGACTTAGGGATCAAGCAAACAAATGAAACTGTGCCACTCAGGCAAAACAATTGGCCACTGAAAAAGAATTCCAGTTCTTTTATGTTAGAAGATTCCAATGTGATCTAAAACTCCCAAATAATAAATTAATTTAGGTTCAGTAATTTTAGTTTATTTTAGGTAGCAACACATGTTATAGTATTTAAGTTCAGAGTCACTTCAAAGAGAAAAAATTAGTACATGAAATTACAATTTAATTGAATTTCTAAGAAAAGAGGAGCTCAATATCCAAACTTCTTAGGCAAGAAAAATTTGAAAAACTAAATTAGAAATTTGAGTTTACTTAAATATCTGTGATTTCTTTAAGTATAAATTTCAAGGGAAAACAAACTAACAACAAAAGGGAGACTGCCCTGGGCATAGAGCCGATTCTTCTGCCATGATGGCACTGTGTGACACTATCCATGTGGGTCTGCCACAAGGTGCAGGCTAGTCTTCCCAATGTGTGCCAGTATTGTCTTCCAGGTGAACAGAACGGCTCTACCAAGACTTCATTACTGTTCACAGTGGGTGCTTTGTAATTCTATGTAATTTTAATTAAAGGAGAATTCTGAAACAGCCTCCCTGTGTGCTACCTCCAAGCATACAATTAGCAGAGTACAGTGTCTGCTGCGAGCAGCTCGGCTAATGATTTCAGCTTAATAATTTATTATTCCTTCTTCAATGCCAACCATACAAGAAAAAAAGAGAAGCTAAAATTGTATGTAGCACACAGGCATTTTAGGTGCGTAGTTTAACAATCTAAAAAGGGATTTCTTCCCCGTTTCAATCTTACAACCCCGTAAGCCCCCGAAACTTGATATAAGAAGGAATCACAGGGGCAGGAAAATTGACTCAGGGGTTAAGAACTCTGGCCGCTCTAGAGCACTGGGTTCAGCTCATAGCACATGGCGACTCACAGCTGTCTATAACTCCAGTTCCAGAGTACCTTCGACTCTCTGTCACCCTGGGCACTAGGCATGCATGTAATACACAGGTGTTCATACGCGGGCAAAACACGCATAACACATAAAATTTTTAAAAAAGAGAGAGAGAGAATACCTTTGGCCTGTCAAAGAATTTCAGGACAAATGTGGTGATTGTGCTTAGCAGCTTATTACAACGTAAAACTGTTCTCCTTATTGAAAACCAGAATATTTTCCCATTGGGGAAGGAGGCACGGATGTGTGCATGCCTACAGGCAGTGGGTCATTTAAGCTGATCTTCCTTAAAGGGACACCTGAGAACAAGTGTAATGGCTAATGAATAAAAATATCATAATGAAGTCCATTAATCTTATGCTAAATTAAAAATCAATTATAAAATGAAGAAACTATAAAAGTAATGATTCTTAAAAACATTGATTATCTAGAACAAACAAACAAACAAAAAGGCACCAAGATGTGTCTTGAGCCATTTCCTCAACTTGGATGTCTGAATAAACAAAAGAAGCTGCAATCTTTGATCTGAAAATGAGTTGCCATTCAAAGAAATTACTCTATCACAGTAGAAAAAATGAGGTACAAGGCATTTAAATCTATCATCCTGTTCAAAGGGAGGGCAAAATAGTCCCTAAATCATCGCCAGTTCTCCCTGTGAGTTGTATCTCTTACCTTCACTGAACACTGCTATCGTGACCGGATGTTTCTAGGAGAATTTAGTCTGAGTAAAATGTGCAAAGTACAGAAATTGAACTATATCCTTGAATCACCCTTTTAAACCAGAGTTAAAAATAATTTACTCCATACTGTGTTGCTTATTAGCATAAAGGGCTACAAATTACTATAAAATAGTAATATTTACTTGTAGCCATAATTTGATAATTTAATGTTTTTTAACTGAATCAACACACAGTTTAGCCTTTTCAACATAAATTACTACATTTTTAATAATGATGAAGTCACTTCTCATGGTATTTCCGTGTTCTTGTTGAAACCTCACAGTTGTCCTCAGTGTATCTTAGCAAAATGAAATGACTTGAAATTGAGAATGGGAGAAAAATCACATTAACATCACCCTGCATTTCCCCATTCTATACTTGGTGATCATCTCACATCTACATTATTAAAAACTGGCAACAAAGTGGGACTTAGAAGTAGTTCAAATACAATTTTGTCATTTTTTTCTCCCAAAGACTGTTTGGTTTGAATGAGTGAACTTCTTGGCTTTTCTAAAAGCATCACTTAAATGACATTCCCATAAATGTATCAACAGGTGCTCAGATGCACATAATTTTACTGCCTAAACAATCATTTGGCAGTACTGTAAAGCAGTAAAATTAAACTCCAAAATGAATAATACAATGGTATAATTATATTCACAAATCAGAGCACAAATGAGCTAATGTAATCATGTTGTATTTGATAGAAAGCTCCACAGTAAACAGGGGGAGGGACAGATTCCCTGACTCGCAGTAGAGATGAACCATTGTCCTTAATTTATAATTCCTGAATACCATGTCCATCTCCTGAAAACAAAGTTTTAAACAGAAAGTAGTGGGTGCCTATTGCTTTTTTCTGCAATGGCTCTTAATAGGAATTGCTTAAGAAACACTTTAAGAAAAACAGCAATTTAAAGACATTAAAATCACAGACCCCCAGTCCTTATCATGCAAAATAATGTATTTACTTATGCATGTTTTGGGGGGTAAGAATAATTGCCAACCATTTGTTTTGCAGATATTCGGGACAGTGGGGGTCCCAAGCCAGTGATGGTGTACATCCATGGTGGCTCTTACATGGAAGGCACTGGGAATCTATATGATGGGAGTGTCTTGGCAAGCTATGGCAATGTGATTGTCATCACAGTCAACTATCGGCTTGGGGTACTTGGTAAGATATTTCTTACTTCCTTTGCCATTTATCATAAAGTTGTCATAGTTTTGTTTTGCTTCTGTGCTTCTTGATATAGTTTTCTGAACCTAAATTTTTGAATGATTCTCTGAGTTTATTAAATGTTCACACATTAAGTAAAGACAACTTGAGAAAATTTTAAATTTGCAGCAGAAAAGTAATGGAGGAATTGATTGCTAAGATGTACTTTGTGGTTTGACTATACAGAAGCATGAAAGCCAACAATGGCAAAGTCTTCAAAAACAAGAGAAAACAAGTTCTTTAACAAATATGTACTTCTGTTTTTCTTTTGCACACTGTTAAAAAAAGTTGTCTTAGGTCTTCTGTACTCTTAGATGCTGGTTTACACTTCCTTCTAGAATTGTAAATGGACTAAGGTGGGGAAGTTACTGTTTATTGTTGCCATATAGGTATTTCATTTCTTTTATTTTTATCATTCAATAATAATTATGAATGTTTTCTCTCAGTATATCTTTATTGAATGACTTAATTTGGAAAAGCATATACTCATTTTTTAACCTGACTGGTCAATTCAGTCCTACACAGTGTTTACAGATAGAAGATAGAGTCTAAACTGAGATCCTTAGCTTTGAATAAAAATATAGAGAAAGTTTACTTTTAGTGAAATCTTTTTTATTTAATAGTCAGATTTTAATAATCACCTGCAGTTCTATTAATGTAAGCAGGTCGCAGTATTGGCAATGACAAACAAATTGTATTTAATCAATATTATCTGTGGTATTTTTATGTAACGATTGAAAATAGAATGTTTCCACAAAATATTTTATTTTTAATCTTAATTGTTCTAAAAAATGTATCGCAATTTGAAGACTCAAAACCATTCTGTTTAGATAAAGGGATATTCTGGGATAGTCTCCTCCAGATTTGTGTCTTCTAAACTTAGAGAAAATGCAGAATTGTACATTATTTCATACCATTTTTAATATCATACATATATAATCTGCCATAGTGGTGATAGAGTCAAGTGGATGATATGATGGGCATGCCTTATCATTAGGTAGAACACATATGGTCAGCCCACTGCTCAGGTACGTTTTGCCAATCAGAGTGTATAGTCATGAACTATTCAGAATCATTTTTCTACTTCAGACATACTTCTCACTATTGAAAACTCTACTTATTAGAAGATAAAGAACTGACTCTTTGTAATTATCCCTACGTATCTTAATCTTATTTTATTCTTACAAAACATTTGCACATGATGTCTTTTAATGCCTTAATATCTTTATTTTGTAGTTTTTATATTTTGTACTATAATTCAGTCATTTTAATAGCTCTCATTCTCATATTTTTTCCAAATCTCTTCAATTGAAAATCCTGTGCAGTGACATGTTTGTCGACTGAAAAATCTAAAAGAAATGCCAAGTGTGTAGTTAGTGCTTGTAGCTCCACCATACAGTGTCTATCTAACAATTAGTTTTGTCATAGTTAAATTTCCTATGATGAGCTTTGGGATTAAGTTAATGGAAACATTTCCCACTCCTTTATGATTCTTTCTTAAAATGTTTGTTTCCTCTGCTACAGTGTCTTTAGTAAGGACTTCTCACTGATGCGATTTCAATCCTACATGCATGCATACATCTTGTCTTTAAAAAGCACAATGTGGTTGAGTTACAGCACAAAAAATTGAGCAGGTAAGAAAGGGAAGAACTCACTCATCACATGGTCTGCCTAAGTGCCTGCCACATTGGCCTGGAGGATGGGATTTTCCTAGTTTGGTTTGCTCTGTCTGAATTCTGAGGAGCACCCCTTAGTTGGCTTCTTTATGTCTTGAACAAGAATCATCTTCAGTCTGAGGCTGACTTTTATTAAACTTTTAACCTGAAAAATAGCCAAAATGTGTTAGTTAAATTGTATAAAGCAATGGTTCTTAACACATGGGGCACAACCCCTTTGCACAAACCATTCTTATTGCTTGCCTAAAACCACTGGCATATACTATGGTTCAAAACAGTAGCAAAATTACAGTTATGAAGTAGCAAGGAAAGTAAATTTAGGGTTGGGGTCACCCCAACATGATGAGCTGTATTAAAGGGTCACAGCATTAGAAGGGTAGAAAACCACTGTTCTAACACAGATTTTAGAGTGTTAATTCTATAATAGTTGGATTTTGGCCAGTGTTTTTCAAAATAAAACTGATTTGAATGTATTAAAATGAGATAATACAAGAAAAAGTAATTGCTGAAACATTAATTCAATGTCCTTCACACAAGTGTCACACTAAACCAGATCAACAGTCATCATGCTGAACTATGACAAAGAGGGATGTAGATATTGAGGTGTTCCTTGTGAATATTTACCTAGCAATAAGGTAAGGTGAGGATTCTTAGTTGTGGGTTCCAAAAGAATTATGGTCAAGTTTGTTGTGGGGTAAATGCTGAAAATATGGTATAAGATAAGATTTGATCTCGTATCAGAGAAAGTCCTGCTCTGTCTTTTGATTCTGGTGTTTTGTTGTGAAGATGAATTTAGGAAGCCAGTGGTAACTGAATAATTATAGTTCTGTTGATCAGTGGTGACTGGCAGGCAAGCCAGTGTTTGGAACAGGTGAAATTATTGTCAGTTTGAATTTTCCATACTTGATTTGCTCTTGATTTTTAGTGATGAGTAGTCAAGTAGAAATGATTCAGTTATAAAATTCATATAACTACATCACTATCTAGTGACTAAGGTTCTCTAATTGAAAGCATTTTGTGTGAAAAAATATTTTTTGCATTACAAATTAGGAGTAGCATGGAGGAAAAACTAAATCTGTCAGTATATTCAGAAATTTGATGGTTGGCAAAACTTCCTGAACTAAGAGCCTTCTGTGGTATCCTTTGGAAGAGTAGCACATACTCTCACTCAAAACTGCATATAGCCTTGCCTCTGAGGTAATCAGCTGTGTGCAGAAAATAATATCGTCCAGTAAGGTTGACAAAACAGATGAGAGGAAAGAAGCAGGACTCTGGTCTCCATCCACTGTCTCAGAGGCAACTGGCAGTTCCTGGTGATTGTGTATCAGACTCTGAACTTGATCCTGCTTACAGTGTTGTATTCATCCAGTTGTGATGTAAGTCTGTTCTGTTCAGTCTCATTCAGCATCTGCTGTTTAGGTCACTATTCCATAGATCTTGGGATTAAATATATAGTAATTATTGCTTCATTACCTTTTAGTCGTTTACCTTATGGATACTAAAAATTATTAACTTGGTTACTTGAGAGATGTTTTGGTTATGTTTTGTAGGAGAAAATAATCCATGTGAATATTTTGACTCTACCCTGGGTAAATGTGTATGTTTATTGGTGAAAAATTGAAAACTCTGATGAAATAAGTTGTTCACTCTGTAAGATGTAGCACATTCAAATAGTAATATATCTTTAAATCTCTAAAACCTCATAAAATGAAAAAATTCAATAAGAAATTTAATATTATAAGTTTCAACTATTATAAATTTAGAATAAATTTGTTACTTTTAATGTAAACAAAATTCAATGTCACTATGCTTTACTTAGGTATAAATAAAATTTGTTATTTGATGGAAATTTAATGAGTTACCTTTGTCTTGTAAGGATCTGTTAGAAGTAGCCATGCAATTCTTTATTCTAGTCAATGATAGTTTTAATTTTTAAAATTTTATTATTTATTTGAGACTTTCACATATATTTTTTGATCATATTTAGTCTCTAATTCTTTTTCAACTCAGCCCCCTTCTCCACCCATATAACCGGTGTCCTTCTTTATTTGTGATTCTGTCTTTTCTTATTTTAATGCCTGAAAACCAATTTATGTTGACTAGGTATTCATAGATGTGCTGTCTTCTACTGTGTGTAGTTGCCTAAAGAGGTGATACACTCTTCAGGAAAGCTGTCTTTCCCTCTTCCAACAGCTAACAGTTGCCAATAGCTCTGTATCTTGGGGTGGGGTAGTTTGCTCAACTCCCCTCACCATGCTGGGATTTGGCATGGTTAGGAATTGTACAGGTTTTATGTTATCATGACCACTGTGAGCTTATATGTGTAGCTACCCTTCTGAGTCCAGAAAATGATCTTCCCTTGGAGTCATTCATAAGCCCAGATCATATATATATATATATATATATATATATATATATATATATATCCTTTTATGTCTGAGTATTCTGCAGTCTTATTCACTGAATCTTGAATCTTGGCCAATTGTGAGTCACCATCAACTACAAAGGGAGTATTTCAGATTAAGGTTGAGAGATGTGATGGTTTATGGGTTTAATGATAAGTTATTAGGAGTTGTTTATTATGTCTGTTTAGCATCATAATATTAGTAGTTTCTCTACTGTAGTCTATGAACTGTCTAGCCATAGGTCATATGCAAAAATATGGTTCATGGTATAGATTCCATCTTGTATAGCAGATCTTAAAATCATTGACAAAGTTGCTGTTACTTTCATAATATTCACGACAATATTACACTAGTGAGCATATCTTCCAAGGCCAATAATTCCTGTTTTTTTGCAGAACTGGTAGGTAGGTATGATTGAGTGATCATTATTATTCTTCTCCACAAGCTTACATAGAGCTGCTAATATTATGAAATCTAGTCAGTAGGGATGAATTTTCCAGGATTCATTAGTCCCAAATTTGTCTGAAAAGCAACAAATTTTGGGAAGAGATCTCATTAAACATTCAAGTTTGTACTATAAATTTTACATAATCCATCAGAGTGAAAGATAATAAAGTAAATTATATCTACTTGTATTAAAAAATTACAATTATTTTACAATGCTACAAAGGCTAAATAGTTTAAAACAATTTTTCTTAACTTACTGTAAACCAATTTTAATAAATAATGATTTTATTCTGTTCATCTTGGTTAATAAGATTTGATGATTCTTATAACTAGGTTGTTGATGCTATAGTAAGCTTAAAATACAAGAGAAACCACATAGCTACCTATTGCTTTAGTGTGATGAGTTGTCACATATAGCACTCAAATTTACAATCAGAATATTTTCCATGAGGAATGAAAAGGAGGCACATCTGTTGTAGGGTTTGTTTGTCCCTCCAGGTCCCACCACTGCTTCTCAGCCCCAAATAAGCACACAGACTCTTATTACTGTTGGCAAATGACTAAGGCTTCTTACTGGCTAGCTGTGTCTTAATTATTAACCCATCTCATTAATCCCAGTATTAATGTGGTCTCATCTTACCAGAGAAGGGTCCGTACCTTGTGGTTTACATGGTGCCTCTTCACAGCACCTCCCTGCCTACCTTTCCCAGAAATCTCCTCATTTCCTAGCCCCGCCTATCTTACTGCCTCTCTCAGCCAAAAAGTGTTTTATCCATCAACCAATAAGAGAAACATATATACAAAAGGACATCCCCTATCATCTCCTCTTTTCTTTCTAAATAAAAAAGAATTGTTTAACTTTAATATATTAAAATTATATGTAACAAAACAGTTATCAGCTGGGAGTTGGTGGCACACACCTTTAATCCCAGCACTCAGGAGGCAGAGGCAGGGGTATCTCTGTGAGTTCAAGGCCAGCCTGGTCTCCAGAGGGAGTGCCAGGATAGGCTCCAAACAAAGCTACACAGAGAAACCCTGTCTCGAAAAAACAAAAAACAAAACAAAACAAAACAAAAAAAAGAGCTATCAAGTAAGAAGTATATTTACCAGTATTTATTTAGTCCCTCATCATTTGCAAAATTTATAGAAGATATCCTATTATCTATTCTATCTTTTTGAGTTTACAGTTTTATATGTAACTTATCTTTTATCATAACTAAGGAAAATCATAAACGTAACTATCTGTCTTCAGCTCATTAAACACCTCAGAAAGATAATATATAAACTCTAGATTTCATTCAAAGTTCCTGTGTAATGTTGGAGCATCTATCTTCAGCCTGTAGGCCATAGGCCATAGTGTGTCTGGCAGACTTCTTATCAAATCAGGAATTTTTTTTTTTTAATGCAAACTGCACGAGGCTTTATTGTAATTTATCAAGCTAACCCCATGTTAGCTCCGGTCTTTCACCCACCCATCATGGCGGATGGCTCACAAAAGACAACTCCTAGGGCCTCCAAGAGATCTTGTAGGGCAGCGTAAGGGGAGTGTCTAGGGGTACGCACAGGCTCACTATTGGTGTGCTTCCAGCCTTGGAGGGCTTGCCCTGTGTTGATTGGTCAACTGGTTGTTATGGCCCATAGGCCCTCCCACGGTGGTTGCTATGCTCTGAGTCGATGCTGTGTGCTTGTCGGTAAAGTACACGCAGGGTCATAAAGATTAGTTCCTTGTCACGAGGCAGGCACCTAACCTCTAGTGACTAAGACAAGGTCATTGGTTCCTGTCATGGCTGCCAAAATGGGGAGCTGGTCCCTTCATTCCCCCATTTTCTTTTTTGGAAATTCCAAACATGGAATTGCTGTCTCTCTAGCGCCCCCCTCAGGGAGTGAGAGATATTGGCATCCCCATGCAAGGGAGTCCCTCCTGACTTAGCATTTTACCCAGGGAAAATGGGCTTGGGCATAGGAACAGAGGTTAAAACTTATTTATAGAAGCCCACAGTGCAGAAAAAGCAGATATCTGGATATCTGTTCAAACAGCAGGAACATATTTATAACTTTGAGTCCTAGCAAAAACTACAGATTTGTGCTATAAGCATGTACATTTTTCTTCTGTTCAGAGAGCCAGGTATGGATTGGACAGAGGTGCCTTTGGCCTGATGAAAAGCCCTTTAAGTTTGTACTTAGATGACAACCAAAATAAACTTAAAAACCTTGAGCTTGTGCCTGAACAGTAGATAGTCATTATTTTACCAGCTAACATGCTGACTATAGTCTATAGTGGATCTGACTGTCTGATGCTGCCAAGTTGACAACCATTAATATTTCAGAGATCTGAGAAGGGTATATTTTATCCAAATCTACTAAAAAGTGACAGAAGCCAGTCCATATACAGTTAGCCATACCCAAGTTTCTCCATTACCGCTCGAGGCAGGTGTCTCAAAGACCAGGAAATTTTAAGCTCCTCACATATATTGGCAGTTTATCAGTCATTTTTCTCTGTGTCCTGCAGAATGTCTGGCAGACTCTTCCATGAAGCAGGAACCCTGAAGAACTGTCCCATCTTGTTTTTTCAAGTTTAGAAGTCACATCCTTGTGGGTCCTGCATGTCCAGTTTATACAACATACAGTCAAACAGTCCTGGAAAGGGCATTTTCTTGCTGAAATGTCTAGTCTTGACATGATGAAGGCAAACTCCATAATGAGTTTCTTCAATGCCCATCTTCCTCTCTGAAGTAATTCGTATTGACAGGAACAATTGTCTCTGCATGAAAAACGCTAAACCATTTTAAATGTCATATTCTGTAGGTCTTTGTAGGAATTGAAGAACATCAATCCATCTCAAGTATATCTTTGTATATCTGGAAAACCTAACTAAAAGAATATAAGTTTTGACTATGGTGAATATAATCTGTAATTAATTATATATTACATTTTTAAATGAGCTATATAAACATAATACCTAAAAAAGGAGAAATTTACCTCTAACAAAATTGACCTTAAATTTGTTTCATTAAACCAAAATCCATACTAATGCAAAGTATTCATTTCTCTATCATATTTCCACTTTTTCCTCTAAAAAGTTATTGGCTGAGACCATTAACCATTTATAACCAACCCCATTTAAATGAAAACTAACATTTATAACAATATTTGGGAATTTGGGCAGTGTTATCTCCAAACTGCTTCCTGCTGTTTGGGGTCACTGTCAATACCAAGGGGATCCTGAGAAAACCCAGAAACCTGGCCAAATCAAGGCTGTAGTGCTTCATGAGGCTTCATTATCTCAGCTGTTTTGGATGTTGGATTACCCGGGCCACTGCTTCAGTGGGTCTTGCTTGATCAAACCATTTTAGTCTGGAAGGAATTCACAGCTGTGCATTTTATGTGGAAACAAAAACAGAACTTTACCAAAGTAACCTGTCCTTAGACTTAAATTTTTAAGTCTTGGCATTTTCAAAATATATAGGTTGGATTAATCCATCAGCATTTATAATCAAATGCCTGTGGGCAGGTGTTGCTCTTTCATCAGCAATTGCACAATTAAAGGACAATAAAATAACATACAGAATCCAGACTCTCTGCATAATTTGGCATCTTTGTGTGGCTTTTTAAAAAGATAGTGTTACTCTATATCTTTTACTTTCACTTTTTCATTTTTTGAGACAGGGTTTCTCTGTGTACTTTTTCCTGTTCTGGAATTTACTCTGTTAATCAGACTATCCTTGATATCACAGAGATCTGCTTGCTTCTGCATCCCAACTGCTGGGATTAAAGGCCTATGCCACCACACCCAGCTATTCTATT